TAGTTCGTCATTGAAAATCGGAGTGTTGAGATCAGTGATATGCGTGACATTTATTAATTGTGTATTTTCTTTCATCACTATTTTTTCTTCTGTTCATACTCACACTGCAGTTAATTTTTCTTAATTAAGGTACGTTTTTATACAACAATTTATTGAATATTATTATAATTTGCAAGTAAAATGTTTTTTTGTCCTTGATCGCTTCTTTCGTTGTTACACTCGTATTATGATCTTTCAAATCGATATTTAGCCTTTACTATTGTTTCATTCTTATGTAATTTGATTATTTCATACGTTTATTAGAAAGTTTCCCTGTTCTTTTGTACAGATTATCATTTAATTAAGAAGGAAACTTTGAAGCATAAGGCGGACGGCGCAAAATTCGAAAGGACGCCGACAGTTTTTTGTGATGGTATGATAATATTTGATTTATTCTAATAAAAGCAGATGTATTTACATGTTGTTTTCTCTTTTTGTTGGATAATTAGTAACTTTTTCAATAATTTATAATTCTGAGAATGCATGCTATCGTGTATAAATTTGAATGCATTCTGCGCATCGCGTCGTTTACGTACTGCGCAGCTTTATTTAAATGAAAAAAAGCGCGCCATATTTGATTAATACGAAGTATATTTAAAAGTCTAATGAACATTTAAAGATAAAATTTTTACATATTTATTGTTTCATATGAATATTCATAGATATTTGATAATAGAATTCGATATTAAGTAATATTTTAAAAAGTGTAATGTTATTTTAAACATATTAACTATATAATTTATGTTGTTAATATATCAATAAAATTTCAAATTTGAACAGAATTTTATTTTTCATTATTTTAAATTTTTTAAATAATCAATAATATATTTTTTATATTATATAAAATATAATTTATATTTTTTATATAAAATATAATTTAAGAATAAATTATATTTTATATCGTTTGTTAAAGGTTTTTTTCAACTTTTGCTTTTCCTGCTCTCTGGGAAGGATGTATTAGAGCTTCAAAGATGAACATGTAAGGATCTTTTCTTATTGTATTTTAATTTATTTTATGTTCTATATTTTGCTTTAATTGTTTTATACTAAATTTTCAATTCTTACAATATTAATGTTACTACTGTAGTTTTTAGAATAAATTATAATAATTTATATTTTGTTAAAGGTTTTTTCATCTTTTCCCGTTTTTCCTGACTCTTGGAAAAAATCTAATAGTATTAAATATGTAAGTAATTTTATACTTTGTATTTAATTTCATTTTATTCCTTGTATGTTACGTTAATTATTAATTAAAAAATAAAATCTGATTGAAAATTTGAAGTTTTTCACTCTTGAGTTGAATATTAATATTAAAATTTTATTCTCAATAAAGAAAAATCTTTCATTATTTCAAATTGTTTAAATAATTTTGAACAACAAATTTTAATAATCTGTGCTTTATTTCAGATTTCTTATAGTCTTTACTCTTTCTTGTGATTCAATTATCCCTATTCGATGATGGGCTTCACGATGACTTCTCTGGATCACATTTACATTGATGATAATATTCTTCTCATTTCGTGAGTTGCATATACTTTTGTTCCTCTGGTCACTCAATTATCATAGGATGAAAGATCCGAAACGACACGAGTGACTAGTTGTATTCTGTAGTAATTTTAACGAGCATAGTGACCGCGGATATTTATTATGTCCGTGGGTAGTAATATTATCATTTCTGTGTTTTATTTATTAGTTCAGGATGGGTCTTCTTGCATATCGTGATTTTAAATAATAATAATATGTTAATAATTAATATGAATATAATATTAATAAAATATTACAATATAAAGATTCAAATAGAATTCAGTACTTAAGAGATAAAATTTGTTTAATTTTTATTCATCAAAACTTTTTACATGCAAGAAGACACTTCGCGACAGACAGATTTCAGAATCAAAGCAATGATGTTGAATTTTACTTTTGTGCCTTCAATGTGCTTTGATAAAGAATTCATCTGAGGATATTTTCATCAATATTTCATTTACAATCAGTATTATTCGTTGAATATTATTTGAACTTCTTTTACTCAAATATAGTATTTCAGTAATTTATTAAATTGTTAAAGTAAACTATAAAGTAGAATAATTGAAAATTAAAATGAAATAAGAAAATACAATACCAAAGAATATTAGCTCGTTAGACAAAATAGATACATTAATTATCTCTTTTAGCTCAGGATTTTCAGCTTTACTCCTTTCCATATTCATTGACAGATCTTATTCACATGCTAAAGTGCATCGCACCTGAAGAAAGGAAGAGGCTCGGCAAATTGCCATAGAAGAGAACTGCAAATGGCTTCTTATCCTCTGGATAGGAAATCTATCCAGAGCATGGGAAGTCATCTTTGGTAGTACTTTGTCACTATGCTCATTTTTAATACTTGCATTATGTAGTAGTAGTATTTCTTTTTTTTTTTTTTTGACCGACGTATTTGGTTCACCATCATCTTAAGCAAATCGCGGTTTCTTTATTAATGTTTCGAAAAATTAATTACGAGTGGTAATGGAATTGTGAGGTAATCAAGATTTTGTGTTGTAAATTAGAGTTACGAATAGATGTTGATTTCGGTCTACATTAGTGTTTATTCTTAGCATTTTTTAATTATAAATTCTTAAAGAGAACTACTAGATTTTATTAAATTATTAAAAGAGAACTGCTATATTTTATTTAAAATTGAATTGGAAAATTTTAATTTTAGAAAGAAAATAAGAAAGCGTGTTGGTATTATAACATCATTTTATTAGATTTAAATTGAAATCGATTATAAATTATGGTGATGAGTTTGAATACTAGGACTAGGACAAATGGTTCTCGCTGCTCTGCTTTGTATACTCAATTTCATATTGCGTACAGTTGGTGAAGGATAAACATGATCGTCTGCAAACCCCTTTCCCTTTCTTTTCTTCTTGCATACACACATGTACAATCACGCGTGTTATTTCATCCTTATCTCTCGTAATTCCTTTCGCATTTTCTAAATGCACAAATGCACCGCCTCTTCCATCTCTTTCACTTTCATTTTCCTGTTTCGTTATTGTTATAATATAATGGTAATATAGCCTGTTCAACTATGACAAATGCACCAAATTCCAGCACCCAGTGTGCATAAGGAATGCAGTGCGAAAGATATCTTTTCCACTCAGCACAATTTCTCTCTACTTGTAACCCATACAAAATTCGAGAAACGTAACATTTAACACCCTTATGCGTAGTAGCTCTTACGTAAGAATCATTATTGTTTCATAATTGTATAATATCGTAAGAAATTAAACGAAATGAGACAAAGATCGAAACGTTGTATTCGATTCATCACACTGAACCGGTATTTCCGTTCGCCAACGATTGTCCCCACGCGTGGAGAACGTCAAGTGAACAAAACAAAATCTCCGATCACCGCACTTCTTATGCTCTAGAATCGCTCGATCTTGATACATCGTACGAATCGATGATGCTACAGACAAAAAAAAAAAAAAAAAAACAAATGAACCAGTCCCGCGGACAGTGCTACGCTGGTATCTCCCAATCGCCAATGTCATTCGCCAATGGGGGGAGGGGGGGGGGGGGGGGAG